TAACACATACCTTGGTCACAACGAATTATAACATTGCATTATTTCAGTTTGTTTGGCATGTGATCATTTGAGCAGATGGCTTGGCCCGGACGATAAGTCAAAACGAAAGTATGCTTGAATACTAAAAACAAACAATTTTGATGATTCGTTGGTACCCCAATTTTGACCTATACCCAATTATTGCGTGTTGGGCAGTTGATCCTCTTCGCTCTGCAGACGGAACATACGATTTGAAGCACGTGGGATACCCAACGGCTTTGCTTTTAAGACACCAACCCAAACATGATAAGCACACAAACACAGGCGGGGCATGCTCGTTTTCCGACTGTAGTTTACTTGTTTCATGTGCCAGAATCGATGGTGCTGGCAATGGGGCAATGGGAGATCCTTCCAAAATGCTAGGATATGATGCCCAAGTTGTGCTGGGTCAATCGTTGCTTCAGTCGTCCTAGTTTTGCCCCTGAAATTCCCAGCATGTTTGCTTTCCACTCCACATGCATCTAGAAATCCCAAAAAAAAGCTAAAAAAGAATGCCCATTCTTGTTGTTTTTTCTGCTTTGACATAGACCCAACCCTCAATTTTTCAGCCCCTAAAATCAGGTTCCCTCCTACATGGGATATCCCAATGGCCTGGCTCGTGCCGGTGTGAAGTTTCCCTTGCCGAGACCTCAGAGACGTCTCAAAGTGTCTGACGTCTGCGGATTCTGAGATAAGCTGTTTGAGATGGGGATGGTTCAACATGTCAATATCTATTTGGATGCATTAACTATCAGAAAAAAAGAAAATACATGTTTCATTAATATGTGCTGGTGTCTGAAATTCAACAGTGTGTGTTCATATTTTGATAGATATTTATCAAACAATCGTTGGAACCACCAAGCTTGATGACGCTGCTCACATATCAAAATTTTGGGCATTGGTGACAAGTTCAGACTCACCATTATTATTGTTTTGTAAAAACTCCTGCAGTAAAACCATGTATTGTATATATCATCGATCTGCCCGATAGCGTTGGTTCAAAAGTACCAGGAGCTGAGCGGTTTGTAGGTTCACCCCATTAGTGTTGTAATACCTAATTGGTGGCTGACCTGTGAATATACAGGTTATCAGCCGTAGTCTCACCACTTTGCTATGGGGACCCCAATTGACCATCCTCTCGCCGTTCCAGGGTCAGGTCCATCGGCTGTCGCTGTGCCTAATATGGCCGGGGGCAACCCCGAGCCGATGGATGACGAAACAATGTTCCAACCCGTTGTTGCGTACTTTACCTTCATACAAAACAACCTGTCCCAGATTACTAGTGGGAATACCCTGCAAGTCATGAGGGAAGCTGAACAGAGGCACCTTCAGATAATGCATGGAGTAGTTGACTCAATTCGAAACGAATGGTCAAGTAGACTCGTAATGCAGGAACAGGAGTATGAGCAAAGGCTGCAGGAGGTTGAAGGTAATGCCATTAGTGCCCTCAACGAGGAGAGGAAACGAGGCGACGAGATGGAGGTCAGGTTGAATCAGGCTCAGGCATCGCATGACAAAAGAATAGAGGATGTAAAGGCAGAGGCAAACACAAAGCATGATCAGAAAATTGCAGAGGAAAGAAAACGTATCACTAGTGAATTTGAAGCTTCCTATGCACAGACAGTTGAACATGCAAAGAATGCCATAGCTGCCACAAAGAAGCAATATGAAGACCAGGCTGCAATTGATCAGGCCAGGTTCATCAGTTTGAGGACTGAGTTTGAGAACTACAAGAAGGAGATGGCCGACAAGATCAACGAGGCAGCGGCTCAGAACCTTAGCCTTCAGGACCAAATCGATGATCTTCAGGAGCAGTTAAAGCATGTTGCCAAAGCGCAGCATGCCTCCGTTCCGAAAGCATCCGTCCAGAACGCCGAGCCGGCCGCTACCACTAGCGTGACCCACTTCAATATTGCCACTCCCAAAGCATCCGATGCACAGGCTGCCAAAGGCAGTGATGAGCCGATTCTTGAGTTTAAGACGCCTGCAGTGTTGGCGCAGGAAGCAAAGGCCAAGTTGGATGAGCTGCTCAAAGGTGGCAGTCCCAAGCAAAAGCCGGCTGTCGACAACGACCAGCCCCAATTGCCAACGCAGTCAGGGTTTTTCACTCCCACTGAAGCTATCAAAACTCCCCCAAATGAATCTCCCAAGAGCGCAACCAAGCAACGGCAAGTAATGGGTCCCTCAGATCTTATTGAATTGGTGAAAGCCTTAACCCAAAGGGAAGAAAAGGATAAGCCAAAAACTAAGGAGGCTGAACTCATCAAGCTGAACAACATGCCCGCTCCGGAGTCATATAGAACTTGGAAGAATCACGTCAGGGATGAAGTGAAGAGCTGTTCAGATCGCCCGGATGAGGCGTGGCTCTGGCTCAACGAGGTGTACGATCAAGAGTGCACCAGAGAGCAGTTGGAGAAGAAACTCCAAGATCCTGGAAAGTTCCTTACGCTGGATACAAAGTTATCAGCAGCGCTCACGCGCTCAGCCGGAGGGGACCTCGCAACTAGGATCTTGAATTTCAAGGAGCAGCAATCCCGAAAAGGCATCCAGGTCAGGGGAAGATATGTTCTGCTTATGTTTGAGGACTACTTCAAGACATCAGAAGAAGCAGGTAGCCTTTACAGAGTAGAAGATCTTTTGGGTGTTGTCAAAGTAGGCGATACTGTCCAGGATCTCCGAAGATTCATCAACAAATGGGATGCTACCCTAGCTGGCATGGCTGTCACCCCTGATGATGCTGTGTTAAGGGACATCTTGTTGAGGCAGATCCGACCAAGTCAGTTGCTGAAATATGACATCGAGGTGTTTGACCGTGCTCATGAGAAATCCCATGAAAAGTCTTACAGTTTTCTTCACCAATCCATGAAGAACTTGATCGATCGTGAACGATTGAGGGAGAACAGGAACCGCATTGCGGAGAAGAACAAGGCTGGGATTAAGGACACAAAGGCCGCACCCGCCAAAGGCGATGGTCGCGGCGGCCGAAAGGGCTCTCCAAGTCGCGGTAGATCGCAGGAACGAGGTGGCAAAGGCGACAAGATTTGCTATAAGTTCCAAAAGGGTACCTGTGATAAGGGGAAGAAGTGTCCATTCAAGCATGTCAAAGATGATAAATCTCGAACTCAATCACCCAGAAGAACCAAAACACGTTCACCATCAAGGGGCAATAAGGATGATAAGGGGAAGAAGATGTCTAAAGAAGAAATGGCTAAAACCCCATGCATCTATCATGCCCAGGGAAAGTGCAGACGTGGTGACAAATGTTTTTATAAACATGATGACAAAGCCGCTGCCGCCACCAAAGACACCAAAAGGGCCAATTCACCCGCTCCCAAGAAGAAGGGCAAGGATTCCACAGCCGCTCCATGTCTGATCCAGAAGTTTGCATGCATCGTCCGAAAACAGCCGAAGGCAACTTCGTGCTCTGATGAGGCAAGTGTCAGCATGAAGCGTCTTAGATTCCGAAAGGCCCCACATGTGATCGAGGTGAAGGCAGTCGGTCGTCAAGTCCCAGTCAAGCACCGTCCAAGAGAGTTCACTAAGGTGTACAAGACAGCTGAAGATGTTCCAGTTTCATCAAAGGTTGAACAGCATGAAGCTCAGGTTCGTGCAAGACAGCTCCAAGAAACTGTGAAACTTCATGATTCAGATGTTGCACCAAGTTGTGGGTTTTGTTGTTGGGATGAGGACACACGCGACATCACATGCAAAGAGTGCAGGTTCATCAGCGGTCCCAAAGCCCTTAGAGACATTGGTCGTTTCCCGTCAATTGCCACAGCTGCGCCAAAGGCCGGCGTTAGTTGGCTTGTTGACTCAGGTAGTGAATCCGATCTTGTGTCCAAAGGAATGCTGAGGGACGTAAGTGCCAAGAACTGCCGTGCAGCCGAGCATCCGATTTCCTTAGTCACAGCCAATGGTTCGACCGAGGCAAATGAAGTTGCTGATGTCAAGTTGTCCGCATTGCCAGATCCCGTGCATCCGTATGTGCTTGATCATACCCCAGCTGTGCTCTCTGTAGGAACGAGATGCGTAGATCAGGGTTACAGTTTCGTATGGCCTGCCAATGGCAAACCAATCCTAGTCTGTCCAGATGACAAGGTCGTCCAGCTCAAGATCGAAGGTCATGTCCCAATCTTGGATGATAGTTGCAAGGTTTATCCCAAAGATCAATTTCAAAAGGATAAGCACCTCAAAAAGTTGTTTGCAATGCCGACCTCACGGTCGAGCTCAAAAGCCAAGCGGGACGAAGCCCAAGATGAAGAGCAGTTGGATGAGTTGGTGGAGGATGACGCTCAGCAGGAGTACATCCGAAGCCGCAAGACTGAGGATCTGTTGGCTGAAGCTGCAAGTACCCAACATCAGTACACGCATTTCCCCAAGAACCCCTTTTGCAGAACTTGCCAACGAGCAAGGATGATGGCACCTCAGGCACGAAAGAAGGGTGGTCAGAAGAGAATCGAAACTGAAGTGTTTGGTGACCACATCATTGGGGATCATGTCATCATCAAGAAAAATGTAGAAGAGGGTTTCAGGGGGGAGCAAGTTGCGTTGGTGTTGAAAGATCTGCACACCCAATATCGGTATGTCTACCCTAGCCAGTCCAAGGACTCACAAAGCTGTGTTGATGGTTTGAATCACTTCATTGGATCAAAGGATGATGTTCAAGTTGTGTACACTGACAATTCCCCAGAATTGATCAGGGCCATCAAGGATTTGGGTTACAGACACCAAACTTCCATTGAATACGTAGATTCATCAAAGTCTTTTGCTGAGCGCGAAGTTCGTCAGATGTTGGAAGGTGCCCGGAGCAACTTGTTGCAATCAGGACTTCCTCTGAAGATGTGGCCATTGGCCATGCAGCATCATGCGACCGCGATCAACGCAAGCCCCCAGCTTGACGGCAGTGATTCCCCATGGCAACTCAGGTTTGGTGAAGAGTTCCCTGCAATGCACATTCCATTTGGTGCCAAAGTGTTGTTCTGGAATAACCCCAAGAGGTTGGATAACACATCAGGTAAGCTCTCCCCAACAGCAAATGAAGGAATTTTCCTTGGGTATTACATCCAACCAGGTCATGATTGGAAGGGTGAATACTTAGTTGCCAAGTTGGAAGCCGCAGATTATCATGTCAACTGGGGTGCACTGACAATCCAAAGAACAAAGAGGTTGGAATTGCCATCCGAGGGTTTCATCTTTCCTTTGAAAGCTCTGATCGACTCGAAAGCACCCAAAGCCGATCGCCTCGAGGACCAGGTCATTCCGCAGACACCCAAAGCTGTGCCTCTTGAGTCCAGTTTGCATCCGCCACAAGATGAGTATGAATACGAGCCAGGTACGCCTCTACCAGCCGACAGCGATGTCGAGCCTGATGCACCCGAAGCGCCCGTATTTCCAGATCTCAAATTGACCCCCAAAGGTGAAATTATTCCAGATGGACATCATTGGGATGGTCACCGGATTGTACGTAACTACAAAGGTTCAAAGCGTCCGGAGGGGATTGACTCAGAACTGTGGAAGATGTTAGGACCCCAAGATAGGAAGCTGATCATCGAGGAAGAAGCAAAGAAAGCAGCCAAGGAGCAGGAGGAAAAGCCAGTATCATCATCTGGCAGCAAGGGCAAAAAGAAGAAATCTTCACCGG